ATGCAGACAGAAGCGTGTACAGTATGAGCCAATCAGTGGCAGTAATGACAGAGCATGCTCTGTTACGCAAAAACCGCGATAGAGTGAAGCCACGGAAGTCGAAGCGCGAAGTGGCAAAGGGTTCACTGTACACTTCTGCAGACGCTGGTCCTTCCCGATAACATATTCAAAGCATGTGAAGAAAGGCTCCCCATCCCCATGCATTAGGAGCATTCTGGCTGTACTGCTTCCAAGACGGAAGTATTTGCTCTCCTGGTAGTCCCTGGCTCGTTCAATATTCCCAACTAACACCACGATACCCAGGCCTCAGTTCGTTTCAGTTCTTCCTTATTCGATGTCCAACACACACACGAAAGCTCATGAAAAACCACAGCTTGAGTCAGGAGCACCCTAGTCTTACAAGGACATCTTTGCAGCAGATTTGCCCAGTGCTCAACGCCCTTTGGATTTCTGACTGCGGCTTTCGTGGGTGTTGAGAACTTCAATCGTTTCTCTGATTGGCAACGATGCTGCTTATTGGTCCAGGTGTGAGGATTTAATTTAATGTTGAGGAGTAATCCATATTGAAGACTACACTACTCATTGCTCTTCATTATGGTGCTGCAAGTCCTCTTCATTCTCAGCACAAAGTTTGTGCCGTCTGCACATTACAGGATATAACGTCTTCTTCTGGTCTCAGTGCCACTTCAGTCTTCATGGGGTTTAGCTTTCAGCTTATGATGGTGAAAATACACAACCCTGATGAATACCTTTCCTGCTTTAAACCAGGTAGTATCATTGTGTGTTGTTTGAATGACTGCCTCTTGGTCTGCGGACAGGTACCAACTGCTCTTGAATTCCCATTCTTCGAAATGCTGTCCATCAAAATTAGCCCTTGAAATCTCATAAATAGCATCATAGATAGAACATTGTCCTTAGCAACTTGTATTTGTGAAAGCAAAGTTTAAGAACTAGCACAACTCATTTACATTAATGATACAAAGAGTGCCAGGTACCATTCTATTAATTTTACACAAGAGGCTTAGTATGCATTCATTAAATAATAGAATTTGTCAAACTTCATGTCAATTTAATTAAATAAAAGAACTTATTACTTCTATTAGAGAGTAAGAGAAATTACAACAACACTATTGTAGACAGTGACTAAATTTTTAGATGAGTGATCCCGCCACGCCGAGGCCTGTCTGGATAGGACAGGCTGGATGAACAATCTGGAGGAGAAAACAA